CTGCGCCTCGAATCCTGGGTTCAGTTTTGGGCCCAGAGAAGGGAACAGAGATGGAGAAGGGTCTGGAGCACAATTCCTGTGAGGAGCAGCTGAGGGAGCTGGGGGTGTTCAGCCTGGAGAAGAGGAGGCTCAGGGAGCACTTATTGCTCTCTACAACTCCCTGCAAGGAGGGTGCAGAGGTGGGGGGAGTCGGTCTCTTCTCCCAAGTGACAAGAGACAGGACAAGAGGAAATGCCCTCAAGTTGTGCCAGTGGAGGGTTAGATTGGATATTAGGGAAAATGTCTTCACGGAAAGGGCTGTCAGGCATTGGAAGGGGCTGCCCAGGGAGGAGGGGGAGTCACCATCCCATAGCACTTAGGGACATGGCTTGGTGGTGGACTTGGTAGTGTTGGGTTAAACACTGGGCTCGACGAACAACCTAAATGATTCTCTGATTCTGTATAACCAGGCTGGGCGGCCCTTGGGCTGGCCCAGCACAGCCCTTCTCCTGTTCCTACAGCATAAAATGACCAATGTTGTAATTTTAAGGAGAAAAAGGCTTAAAAAGTCAACTTCAAGTAAGAGGGCTGCTCATGACTCCAAGAAGAGATGAGCAAGACACCTGAGATGTCTTTTAAAAACCTTCACAGCCGCTTATCCTTTGCAGAGGCAAGAGGGGAAGCTTCAGAGGGGGCAAACACACTGCAAAAGGTTCTTCAGCATCCCACCGGTCCGAAGAGAAGGCCACAAGGAAAGGGAAAACACAGAGGACGGAGCAGAAGGACATGATCACTAAATTGCAGAGGCAAAACCAGAAAACCAAGGTACAAAATGCGTTAAGACTAACGAGGGCTGCAAAAGGCTCTGCATCTGCTTGACTGCTTTTAAAAGAAGAAGGAAAAGGAAAAATCCCACTTCAAAGAGTTATTAACCGGTGAGGTTAATGCTGCTTTTGCATCCTCCCTTATGCCCAAGGTTAGTGGGAATCAGATCTGGGAGAGTGTTTTTAAAAGGGAACCAGGAAAGAAGCCATGAAATAGCCTTGGAGCAGTGACCCAAGTGAGCAGGAGGTGAAGAAAGGCAGCCAAGGCTGCCCAAGGAACTCGCTGAGACGGCATCCCCGCATCTCGGGGGCTTTTGCAAGCGCAGGCAGAAAGGGTGGGACAGCATCTTTGTCCATCGTCTTTGTCACCATTTTTGAAGAGGGGAAGAGCTCAGAGCCAGAGCTGAGCCGCTGACCTTCAGTTCTCAGAAAGATGCTATCACGCGCGGTTAAGCAAGTGTGTGAGGATAAAGCGATAACGAACACGATGCCTTCCTTGCCCCAAACACAGACACGTCAGCTCCGTGCGGACAGAGCTCCCCGCGTGCGCTCAAGGCAGGTGGGTGAGGCGTCCATGAGGGAATTCCATGCCGGGAGCACGGAGGGTGTCCTCGTCGCCCTGCAAGCTCTGCTCACCGCACGGAGGAAGCCCGAGTCAGGCAGAGAAGCAGAAATAAAAGTGCTGCTTCTCCCAGCCTGGGTTTTTTAGGGCAGAATCCTAGCAGCAGGCACCTGGGGAGAGCACGGAGGAGCTGCTCAACCCCTGGCGAAGGGGGGTACCAGGGGTGCAGCTGGGGAGGTCTCTGCAGCTCCCTGGGAGCTGCTGCTCGATGTGGTCCTCAAGCTTCACACCCGCTGTGACAGTGCTTCCAGGCACTAGTGGACAAGTCCTCGGTGCCCCAGTCACTGCCAGCCCCGCTCCGACGTGGTCCTCGGCCGAACCTCCCGCAGAAAGGGCTTGAGGAAAGCTGCAGCCGTGCCGGAGCTCACAGGAGAGGCTTGGCCTACGCTACACTCCCTCTCTGGTGGAAGAGC